TATATATATATATTTATAATATGCTTACCATAGATTTTTTTGGACTGCATCAGCTATTTTTATAGCTTTCTTAGAGTCAGTTTGGAATCGCTTTCTATTTTTTATTTTTGTTTTTTTTAGTCTATTTTATTTTTATTTTGTCTTATGTTTTCTGTATTAGAAAATGTGTTTGACACTATTATGATTTATATACTTTAAAAAAATATAAAAAATGTTTGCTTGAGTATTTTTTATATTTTTTTAAAGAAAAAACTATGCATTTTATAAAACGGTTGGGTTCCCGTGTGCTCCGGTATTAAGCTTTGCCGCCCATGGTGTATACAACGTCTTCCTTGCTCCACCTAATATGAAACATTACCTGTGGGTGGGCAGGCGTCGATTGGAGGTAGCTGGCGTCAGCAGGCGGCAGGGACAAGCAACGGTGGGTGACCGCAGGTGGCGGTGGGCAGGGGGCAGTGAGCAGGAGGTGGCGGCGGGAAAGTGGCGGGCGGGGGGCCAACAGCGGCAACGGACTGTGGTAATCATTTTCGGTGTTTAAAAAATAAGCAAAAATATGTTTTTTTCTCTTTTGAGTATTTTAAAAATAGAAGTGCTTTAAAAAATAAAAAAAACAGAAAAAAAAAACAAAAAACAAATAAGCACTTTTTTTGTTTGTTTCCTATTTTATTGTTTTCAAAAACAAAAATTGATCCCAAAGAACCCCTTAATTACTTGGTATGAAAAGGGTGTGGTCCCCAAGTGATTAGTTACAGCATTCCTCCTCCTCGTTTCTGCTTTAGAGGAGTGGATAGGCAGTGGTAAGAACCATTATGCTTCTCCAGTTTTCTGAATTACATAACTTTCACCTGATTTCCTCTTCTTCCTGCTGTTTTAGCCTTTTCTTGGCTTTGCTCCTTCAGGTTTTGCACCAATGACCCTGTCCTAAATCACTAATAGACATTGTAATTACGATAATATGCGGAGGCGGTGTCTCCCGTGCATCCATGCCATTTCGATTTCAAAGCCAAAAACACACAAGCTAAGCCTACAAAACTAGTTTCTATGCGTGTAGCAGAAAAAACACCAGCTCAACAACACAGTGTTCAGCATGCAAAGCACCGCCCCAGACACAACCCTCATTCTTGCACTAATTTGCATTCAACAAGAACAAACAAGCCTTCACAATTAACGTTTGGGTCATTTACAAAAATACCACACAATTCTTATATATTTACATATCTGACACCTCAAACATGATACTAAAATGCATCCCACTCAAATTTTAACATTGCATAGAAAATACCACTATTATTATTTTTTAAAAATTAAAATACACCTTTTCAAGCATAGGTTTACAACACCAAGATGTTATAAATGTAAATATAGAGCTTTAGGTGTGAGATATGTCAATAGATAAGAATTGTGTGGTATGTATGTAAATTTCCCTTAAAAGTTTTTCTAGCTTGTAATGGGAGGAATTGCTGAAAATAAATGACCAAATACCATACCTCTTCTGGTGCAACACCAGCATCTTCAAGACTTTTCTGTATACAAGTAGAGACGCCAAGACCATCAGCTCTGGGATCAGTCATGTGATAAGCATCACAGTTGACAGCACCTCCCAAATACTCTGCAATAATTGGCGCATCACGTTTCATTGCATGTTCAAGACTCTCCAAGACCTATAGTACAGACACGGTATAAATAAAAAAAAAAATTGCAGCTATGGACTAACTGAAATGATAAGTAAAAAAAGTTCAAGTTCTTTTTGCCAAACAAAAACTGCAAGGTATTATAACGGTGTTACCAAAATAGTCATCTGAAGTGAAATTAAGTACAACTTTTCTAACTACAGCCTATGAGCATCGTGATTGGAGAATGGTAGGGAAGAACTTCAAAGAAATCATTTTGTTGGAAAAAGATGCAGAAGATGAGAAGAGAGATGAAGTAATGGAATACTTGCTCGATTAAGTTGGTTGAAACTCTGACAACATATTTAATAAAAAAGCTAATAAATATAATTAATAGAATTCCTAAGAATTAGCTCCCAAACAGCTCCATGCCAGCTAACATTTATTCCAGCCTAAAATGACAGCAGGCTGTTGGGAAAAATGATGGAAATGTAATTGAGAGACAGCACTTCCAGCAGAAATTTTCTGCATTAGGCACCAATGGAATCCATTACTCTCCCTCAAGCCGGCTTATGAAAATCACAAGTCAAGCATTTTAATCATTTTTATCAAATCGCAGGTCCTGAAAATTCTTTTACAGTCTGATTTGGGGATGGAGAGTATAAACGAGCTGATCTCTATTTTGATTTTTTTTGTTTAAAAAAGTGACAATTTACCTTCACATGTTTAGTTAGATCACAAAGAAAAGAGTTTTGAGCTATACTGATAGCAGCTTTATTTTCATAATAAAAGATCATCGGGATCTCCAAAATTACATTATGTTCTTCTAGGAATAGCTTAAACCTTCATTAATTCCACCGGCCAAGAATCTAAGTTCAACTTATGCACTACTCCTTGCCACAATATTTTAATTTCTTACTTTTCCGGGTAACAGAACTATCTGAGAAGTAAGTACGATGCCAAGCTGTAGATCGCCCATCAACCATAAAGCCTATTCAATTAAGAGCATCAATAGAACTTTTATAATTTGAGATTCCTCATTTTAAGAGAATATCCTTCTACTGGGCACCTTTTTAATTACTATTACCATGTGACAACATTCATATGTTCTTTGTAATGTTCATACATAATTTGACTTACAATGCTAACAACAAAGACGATATTAGGACAAGAAAAAGACAAATTGACGACGTTCCAACCAATCTTTGAGATCTTATCTTATCTAAGGTCACTTAATTTAGTGTTTTGGTCAATTGGGGTCTCAACTAGTTTGTTTCAAGTTAAACTAGTTTAAGCTAAGAAATCCAAAACTTATTTTCTTAGTAGTACTAATTCCATCTTTATTTCTAACAATTTCAATAACAAAAAATACTCAAGAGGGCCTAGATCTTTAATTTTGAATTCCTTAGCTGGCCATTTCTTCAAGATACCTTTTCCAATTCATGATCCCCGGTAACAATGATATCATCCATGTCGACATGCAATTTTGGTGAAACTTGTTATGAAAAACGACGGCAATAAAATAAAATTAGAACGAGAAAATTCGCACACAGAAACAACAGAGACAACATGTTTACGTGGTTCGGCAATTTGACTACGTCCACAGAGCTGCAGAGGATTTTATTAACTTGAGAATTACACTCGTTGATCACCTCGACAATTACAAGAAACAACTCTCTCTCTCTTCCTCTCTATCTCTCTCTTCTCTCCTCTCTCTTCTCTCCTCTCTCTCTCTCTCTACTCGTGAGCCACCGCCGAAGAAAACTGAAACCGGGAAACCAAGCCTTGCGTTGCATAGTTCCATCTGTTTTTTTGTCTGTCCATACATACATACGTGTGTATATATATATATATATATATGGATACAGGCATACATATAAATACATACATAGATACATAAATGTATTAAGAATTTGCATACTTTAATCACCAGTTGAATATATCGAAAGTTTTACGAAGGATAGCTCCAATTGCATAGGCAGTTAATTGTTAGTTTAAAATTTAGAAACTTTCAAATAGATAGGAATTAAATAGATGGGTTGTGATCATATCATGTTATGCATTGAACCATTTTGATTGATGAAGCATGTTCTAAAACTAGACGATTGAAAAACATTTTGTCATTTGAACATCCTTGCATTTTTACAAGCTTGAGGACTCACCAAATCCTAACATAAAATGCTAAAACTAGAACTATGTGTAATTGTCATGTTGTATATCACAATCAAAACTGAATAGCATAATCCCTTGTTTGAACAAATATAAAATAGATGATGCAAAATAATTATAAGGAAAATAGTCATTCTCCATTTAAGCAAATATAAATCCAATAAAGTTTCACCTTGTGATATGGGTTTGACAATATTACTTAGGACTTTGTTTCTTTCCTTATATTCCCTCAAATGATTTTCATCAATCATTGTATTTGATGGTGCATTAATGACATTAACGATTCAAGGGATGATAATATTTTTATATTTTGGCTAGATCCCTTCCTTATGTTGATTGATCCCCAAAAGAAGTTTTATAGGATTCTTACATGCTTTTAGTTCTCGAATAATTAGATGTTGTTGCAAGTCAATGAATCTAGAGGAATGACATGTTGTTGCTTTTCTTAGTGTTGTTAAAAACATATTTTAGGAGCGGAAGCAAAGTAATGTGCTTTGCATGTGCACTGCATAATAATAACGTATAACATTGCAGTTATGCGTGTAATGTCACATCACATCATAGCATCACAAGCTCAGCTACAACTCAAAACAAAATCACATTCAAATATAATGGCTTGATTTAACACCCATCATAATAACTAAGCATGAAAATTCACTTCTCGTTGTTTCTGCCATTGAGTCATTATTCACTGGTTCTCCATTCTCACCCTGTCGAGCATATTGAATATGTGGTTCTTCCTTACACTTCTCGATGGTTCTTCTGGTCAATGCTATGCTTCTTGCTCATAAGCTTCTTATGGAAAATGCTTCTCCGCTGTCTTATCTTCACACTCCAACTCCTTCAATGCTTCTTTGGCCTCCCGATCTTTAGTTAGTCAATTAATATCATTAATATTAATGAGTTTTAAATCTTCTTTCATCATTTTGTTATTCATATAATTAATTATCTTTTAGGTTTCATAGGGCTAGAAGTTATGGTTATAAATGCATATCATTATATTCCTTGATTAGCATTACTCTATGCCATATAAAGATGGATAAAAATATGACAATTGCATGCACATACGTATATATGATAACTTGCGAATATTCTAATTAGTAAAAAAGGAGCTTTGCTTTGTGTTTTGCCTTTCGAAGCAAAAAAGAACAAGTGCATCGTCTTGTTCTTAGCGCTTTGAAAATGATATGATTTCAGTGATATTACTAAATGATATGAATTCACTGTTATTGATTTAGGCTTAAAAAATGATTGCACTCTATTTATTCCCTCAGAATTGCCCTTCAGTTATTGAATTTGTTTATGCATTGAGAGCAGCATCTTTATTTTGTGGAAATAGAGAAAAAAAAACTATTCCGCATGAATGGAGAGTCAACTATAAATCCCATGAATACCCTAGTTGATGGTAATATATAGGATTTTCATAGAAACACTGACAAATAGTGTTATGCCTTCCCTGCAACAGATTAGAACTATAAGAAATTGCTATAATTAACTGCTCTATCTGTAACTTCCATTTTCAGAATGCAGAAATGCGCCGTAATTTCTACCTTATGGTTGCAGCAATTTGTTACTAAAAACCACAACCTTTTGCTGTAGTATTTTCTATGATAAATATATTATTTGGTCGATTTATTGTGCTAAAACTGCGGGTATCTGTTGCAGTTTATGCTCGAAATGCTGCACTCGAGTAGACAGAATCCTTCTACTAACAATATCTGAATTAGCATTTACATAATTATAATTTGTTAGTTTATTTATAGTTCATCGAATGGACAAATTTCATAATTATTGATGGTTAACAAACAACAAAAACAACAACAAAACCTTAATCCCACTATGTGGGGTCGGCTACATGAATCCTTTTTCTCTATTGCGTCCTATTTAGAGTCATATTTTCATTTAGTTCTAGTCAATTAAGATCATTTTTTATACAATAAGCCCAAATCTTCCTAGGTCTACCTCTGCCTTTCTTAACACAAGTGGAATCTAAAACATCTACTCTCCTAATCGAATCATCAGATGGTCGACGTTTAATGTGACCAAACCATCTAAGGCGACTTTATCTAATTTTGTCTGTCACAGGAACAACACCAATCCTATCACGGATATATTCATTTCGCATTTTGTCCCTAAGTGTAAAGCCACTCATTTACCTAATCATTCTCATCAACACTTAACGTATTATTATGCTTCTCTTTTAAAGGCCAACATTCAGCGCCATAGAGCATTGCAGGTCTCGCCACCGTCTTATAAAATTTTCCTTTCACTCTACGCGGTATTTTCCTTTCATTGATGGTTAATAAAAAATAAACAAAAATAATTTAAAAAAAAAACTTTCTACCAACGTTGAGAGTCAATGTAATGATATTGAAAGAGGATCATCGTGCATATTCCAGAATAATTTATACTATAAGTAGTAGAAAATATTTTTCCAACTATTCTATGATGCTTTCTTAAATTTATTATTCTTCTTGAGTTGAATATATTTCAATTCTTCAACTTCGTTCCATATTTAGAAAATTTATTTTATATTTATTTTGGAGTAAATTTCATTTCTCATAAATGTTTGACCCTTGAATTTTCAAACTGTAATCCTTTCCCGTTTGTATGCGGGTAATGTTCATAGTTACTTTATATAAGCCTACAAAGTATTGGCCCTATATTCCAGCATATCCCTTTGTTTATTTTTTAAGTGTCGTATCATATATCCATATTTGCTTATTTTCTGAAATTTTACTAAAAAAACATACAAAGTCCCCTCAAGGGCAAAATGACAAAAGCACTGTTTAAAAAAAAATTCAGGGAACAAATGTCAAAAAGTTGTTTAAAAAATTAGCTTATATCTACAATCCAGAAAAGGCTTGCAAAAAGAAAGCAAGGAGCGTGCGCAGTTGTAGATCAATTCTTGCAACACTAAAAGCAGGCCAGCATACGGATTTTCAATGTGGAATAAGTTTTACAAAGAATCTACACCAACAAAATGCTGATACAATCCAAAAATCATATTTGTGAAGTATTAGTTGATCCGAAAATTTCAACTCATAATTGGATTTACCCATTAGTCTAGAGTTCACACAACACAATCAGCACGATAACCAAGAAACAACTTAAACTTTTAGGTAACTATGGCATTATAGAATTAGAAATTATGTTGTGCAGAAAAGAGTGTTGAGCAGTAAAAAAATTATTAATAGTTAAAGTGAACATGTCAGAACTTAAAATTTTGAAAAAAATGTATGGAAACAGTTGATAAAACAAATTAAGAAATAATTATATTAGATGAAACGCTTAAAAACGACAAGATAAAACAGTTGAAAAAATATATGGTGATTTGGACGTATCCAATGAAAGGTTAAATATTCAAGATAAATTAGTGCCGCTAGCTGGAGTTATGGTGGCATGGATACAGGTTAGCATAGATTTAACACCTCCTGCAGCATTATTACGTTTGTGCATAGCCTAAGGGCAGTTTTCTCTTGTATTAGCCTAAGGGCAGTTTTCTCTTGTATTAGCCTTGAAGGTGCTTGAGATTGTGCATGACATATTATTACGTTTAGTTTTTTATTATTTATTTGTTTACTATAAATAGGATAATATGCTTAGGGTTTGAATTGCGCGTGAGATTGGATCTTGAGGCTTAGGCTTAGGGTTTGGGAGAAATTTTTTTACCACTCAAATTGTAAGAATTGGGGAGATCGCCTGCCTCTAGAATTGAAGGTGCTTATTGTTGTATTCGTCTTAAGTGTTTGTTTGATGTTCTTACAATAAATTCTTATTTGTCCTAATTTAAGCTAAGAATTGTATCAAAATGGTATCAGAGCATTCAATTTTGGCAAAGATGCCAATTTAGTTTGACCTCAAATGTGCGGAAGTATCTTGGGGCACAATACTTCAGAAATTGCAGCTCATTAACCAATCAGACGCATCACGCCTGGAAGCCAGTGGAAAGGTAAGGAAGGGTTGAATCTTGTGTTAGAAGAAGAATCACGGCGTACAGAACACTTGATCTGACGATCTAAATGGAAACAACGAAAACGACAGCGTACAGTGCGATATAGTCATGATTTAAGCTAGCTGGAAAGCCGAGGATGAGAGCGAATACAGTCACAATTAGAGCTAACTAAGTAGTTTTGAAAATAATACTTTTTTAGAAAAATTCTCCTTTTTAGTCAAGTTTGACATTGCAGGTGGAAATTTTGATTATTTGGCATTGCTCTTAAACCTATTGTAGGTTTGGAATTGCTCTTAAACCTATTCAGGCTATCCTTGTTAAAATTTTGATCAGGATGTTCTTTGAGATACGTGTAATATTAATTTCTCGTACTATTAAATGGTTTAAAATGTGTTTTTTATGCCCACAGTTATTGAAAATGGTTTTTGCAAGAATTTTGCGGCAAGTGAATTCGTGACGGAGGATATGCTCAGCTTTGCAATGGTTGTTGGCAGATGAATTCGTGGTTGTTGGAATTAACATACATTGCAACACTATTTCTTACGAGTAAAAAAAAATTGGAAATTTACATAAGTTGCACAGAATTCCTATGTATTTTTATATCTCCATTTTATGTTGTACCATTCAAGCTATTTTTTATGGATTAAGGGTGTCAAGATGCACAAAGATTCTATTTACTTTAGGATATTTAAACCACCTGCTATATGGATAACTCTCTAGTCCTTTGCGATGCCATTTTCAAAAAGTTATTGTTTGGACACACTTCTCTACTTTTGTTATTTGTAACTTCTTATTATTACTATATTGAGAAATACTTCATTTTGTTTAAAATTTGACTGAATTTTTGTTATACTGAATCCTAGATGATCTTATTTGTTTAGTGATTGTATTATTTATCTATTTTATTATCTCTTTATCTATTTTATTATAAATTTTATTTGTTTAGTTATTTGTTTACCACCTATTTTTGTTATACTTTTGCTATCTATTTGATTGTATCCTAAACGATCCTGTAGACATGAGACCTTTGTACTAGTCGAGTGAGGGACAAAAAAATCCCGAAGTACCGGAGACATTAACTTATAGTTAGCTTTCAAAGTTGTGTAATAAATGAAATAAAATTACAGCTATTTGAAGGTTAGCATTATTATTTCTTTGTTGTTCATGCTATCCTGACTTGCTAATACATTTTCTTTCTTTTCGGCGTGCTCTCATGATGGGAGTCCCATATACTCAGCAAAATCATTAACGTTTCGGATGGGCTATAGATGGTCAAGTCAATGTAGTTGATGATTACAGTTGGATCTATGTTTCACCTGAATTTAAAACGTTGCAGGTAATTTCAATTAAATTTTGCATTCAAAAAAATTATAATTACAGGTTCCTGAAGAGGAATTCTTAAAGGTAAGACTTTATTCATAAGTTTAAGTGTTAGATATGTAAATACATAAGAATTGAGTTGTATATATGTAAATAGCCCATTTCATTAACCATTTGATTTCTAATTTCTCTTTCTGAAACCTTCTTACAGGAGCCGACAAAACGTCCTGCTCCATTTCAGGTCATCGGAAGAATTCTCGGCTGCGGATCCTCCATTTTTGAACCTCCCATCAACATTGGATCGTCAATCATAAAGATCGGAGAATTAATTCAAAGTCGTAGTTTAAATTCAATATTTTTTTTAATTTTTTTTAGGTTTATGTAAAACATAAGAATATGTATTAAATGTATATTTTATTGAAATTTTCAATACAATTATTTTTTAGATTTTAATTTTGATTTGAGCTTTTATTTGTATTTTTGTCTTTTTTTTAGTTTGTAAAGTATAAAATTTGTAATAAATTGGTTTTTATTTTGTAATTTTTTTGAAAATAATATTAATATTTTTATTGTGTAAAATTTGGTATTCATTTTGCTCTTGTAAATTTTTTTTAGCTAATCAATTTTCTTAGATGATAAATGCCCTGAACTATTGTATAAAATTTGCTCTTGAAAAATTTTTATATAAAATTATTAATTAATTTTCTTTAAATAATAATTATTATAATAATTTTATATTCTAACGAGCCAAATTCAAGCCGAACACGAACAGGAAAATATTATTCGAGCCGAACACGAACACACTGTTCACGAGGTATTTCGAACACGAGTCAATTTCGAACGAGCTGAACACCAGCCCAACCTGAGCTCGCTTAGGCTCAGTTCGTTTAATTCAAGCCGAACACGAACAGGAAAATATTATTCGAGCCGAACACGAACACACTGTTCACGAGCTATTTCGAACGCGAGTCAATTTCGAACGAGCTGAACACGAGCCCAACCTGAGCTCGCTTAGGCTCAGTTCGTTTACAGCCCTAGATGCGGCAGTAGGATGCACTCAAGACAACATTTTGAATTTCTGATACAAATTTCTAATTAAATGAAAAGGATTATCAAATAATGACGGACTGTGGGAATCATACGACTTGATCCAATAACAATTTTTTCCATCTTGAGAACAATGTATCTTTTTAAGAGGAGAGTACTATTATGTTAGTGTCAAGCCTAAGGGTCATTTTGTTCTGTATTAGCTTGAGGAAAATTTAGTATTTTATTTAGTATTTGTTTACTATAAATAGGGCTAATATGCTTAGGGTTATGATTATGCATAAGATTGGGTCTTGAGGCTTAGAATTAAGATTTAGGAGAAATTTCCTACCTCTTGAATTGTAAGAATTGGGAGAGATCACCTCACCTACCTCTCAAATTATATTTGTTTATCTTTCTAGTCTTTATTGTTTGATATTCTTACAGTAAAATATTATTTCTCCTAATTTTTGCCGAGAATCGTATCAAACACTTTCTAGGAAGAATATTAAGATTTATAAAAGTCAATCCCCATATGGTTGAAATAAGACTGAGAATGATGATGCTACAAAATGATAGACAACAACAACAGCAACAACAACAAGCCTTTATCCCACTAAGTGGGGTCGGCTACATGAATCATTTTTCTCTATTGTGTCCTATTTAGTGTCATTATAAGATCAAATGTGAAGGAGAATGTAACGGATAGAAATCAAATATAGTGATCAAAGCATTGAACTATGAGCCATATCACAAAAAGGTGAAACAGAAAAAGATAAAATAATAGATAATGAAAACAATGTGCATTTGAATTTCAACTAGGTTCATGGACATTCAAATATAACCATCGAATTTTGGGACGGAATAGAAAACACATTCAATACAACATGCCTAGTGAGAAAGTATTCTATGGCTCATTGTTATAAAAAAATGGAAAAACCAGAATATAAGAAGAGAGGTGGGAAAATAAAAAATTAAGGGTTGACCAGCATATAAGTTTAAAGCTTTCATTTACTTAAAAAGATTTTAGAACTATTATAAATATTACTATTAAATTAAAATTGAATTTAATATTAAACTATTATTAAAAATTAAGTTTGAGGGGCAAAATTTTAAATATATTATATGATATTAAAGAATTAGTAAAAATTTAGGTATGTCCATCGAGCCACCCCCGGTAGCACCACAAGTTGTAAAGCTAACTGTAGTAAAACCAGTGGCCAATATTAAACACCTAACCTCTTGTGCACAATTGTCACAAACCTGATAGAAAAATTTGAATGACAAGGAATTAAGATTAACAAGCATACCGGAAGTCGAAGATAAATCACAGAAGATATACAAACATAGATATATGTGAAACCATCATAGTAAGTGATTGAGAAAAGGAGAGTTATAGACAGAATACCAGTACTCCAGAGCCTTCACCCATAACAAATCCATCACGACCTTTGTCCCATGGCCTTGATGCAGTACGGGGTTCATCATTCCTTTGAGATAGAGCTCTACAAGCAACAAATCCACCAAGACCGATGGGAATGATCGCAGCTTCAGTTCCTCCAGCTATCATTACATCAGCATCTCCTCGACGAATATGGTTCGCAGCAGCGTAGAAGCAATAATTGGAAGTAGCACAAGCAGTAGAAATTGAATAATTTGCACCCATGAAACCAATGTCCATGGCAAGCAAAGCAGAACTCATGTTGGTTATGGCATAGGGAATAAAGAAAGGCGTTATTTTTCTATAGCCTTTGTCAATCAGAGCTTGAACACCATCAGAAAACACAGTAAGCCCACCCATGCCTGTTCCCACTAGAACACCAGCTCGCACTTTGTCAATCTGTCATGTAAGCATAGGTAACCAAATGAAGTTAAAGAGAAGCAATATGAAAAAGCTAATCCAAAGACAATGAGAGAGAAAATACTGTAAGGGGTAGAAATAACAAACCAAAGTAGACATTTGAAAACAATTAGGCCAAAGAATTTCAAAGAATAACCCATATTTATTAAGAAAAAGAGGAATCCATAAATGCTATGGAATTGTAACTAATGAAAACAAATGAGATCAATTTCATATCCAGAATAATGGAAAAAAATGAATCGAATAAATATTGGCACAAAAATATTTGGGGTATTTACCATTTTTATATCTTCACGAACAATAAAAAGCAACTTTTAACTCTAACCAAACAAAGTATTAGCCATGAAATATGAAAGGGTGTCTAGTACTTATTTCAAATAAAATTAAGATAAATTTGTGTTACCTCTGTCATATCCAATTTTAATTTCGAATTCATCATCATAACTTTTTGTAATAACAAATATACCCATATCCACTCTTCACACTTATGACATGAGCTCTAACCAAGATTTGTTCGTTGCCCCTGCATGCCTCCCTCCTTTAATTTTCCTAAAGCTTGGAAGCTTCTAGTTATAATTTTCAGACAAGATTATTAACATAAGGTTACTGATAATAGATGCAATAATAAACAATAGCTATTTCACAATAATCAGATGAGGGGAATTTAACAATTATGTAGTAATAGCATAATTTAATTTAATGGTAACCTTATGCTGCCAGAAAATAACAAGAATTATGGCCGGAAATATAGAAAAAATTAGAGAATTGAAAAATGACTTGCTGTAATAGGTATCACTCAAAAGTGATGGGATTAAAAATAAATGAAGGTTGGCCAATAGGCCTTATATAAGTTCTTTTGATCAAAATCATTAACTCCGTTGTTTATCATCTTAGCTGTATGTCTGAGATATCCTATTTGATTTAAGATAGCATGGGATTTCTGGTGACATCCTGTATTCCTTCATATATTAAAATTCCATTTGTTAGTTGCAATACAGATATTTGCTGAAAGAAAAATTCTTTAAGCAATGTAATTCATTTTTTATACCCACTGAATGCAATCTTTGCGCTGATAATTAGAGATGTATGAACTATGAACTAACATACAAATAATTCCTCACAGCCTCCAACAGTACACTAAAATTAGAAACCCTAAAAATCTTGAATTCTAAACAAGACATCTGACCGAGACTAACGGTAAGCCCTCAGCATCTTAATAGCAAATAAAATCCTCTTAATTGCATGAGTTCATTAATGTAAGAACAATATAACAAAAGGCAGCATCGCCAGAACATTGTTTATGATCTTTCAGTGTGCATGATATTCAGAAAAGGAAAAATACTAATTTGACGATCCACTTATGTTACAGATTCCAGCAATGATTTTTAATACCCACAATGAAAAAAAGATGCACAGTCCTCGGATTTTGTGTAGTATAATTCTATTAAAAGGTTTGCCTATTAAATTTGTAAATCTAGAATCAGATGAGAAATTCCTTTACGAGTTGTAGAAGGAGACAATATAATAAATATATTATTGCGCTTGGAGGTTTCATTGAACCAAGCTGACTCGTAAGCAAGCTCAAACTTGGTTTGATAATGGCTCATTAATTGAGCTCAATGAGGTAAACATAATCTAGGCAACATTCGTTGCTTATCAACAACACCATCAAACAACAGCTAACATCTCTCGGTAATATCAGCATCCTTCTAGCGCCGTACTCCCGCCCTGAGCGACATTTTTCAAACATTTGAATTCTTACAATCCACTCCCACCCTCTCCATTTATTGGGAATAGTGAAACAATGTAATTTCAAACTCAAATTAGTAGATTTATTTCAAGTGAGCAAGGCTCCATAGTTTTCCTCACATTGGACTTTCCATGTAATCTTTTATGTCCTAGAGTTGTGTGCAATTTTATCTTTAATTACCAAGTGTTTGCAAGATTTTTGAGAAAGCAAACAAGTAAATCTCAATCTTTTCACCTCAAACATCTAGTAGAGAAAAAAAAACAACAGCAATAACAACAATGATAAGAGGAAATTGAATTAAAAGTGATCCATATAATAGTTCTTTTTTTTTTACTTCTAAGAATTTCAATTTTTTCTATTTAAATAGCTTTTTTTTAATCTAAAAGCTTGAAGCAATTTATATATATATATATATATATATATATGTATCATGATGAGCAACAAAAGCAAGAATTTAAAATTCCTTTTATAATAAGAAAAGCCAAAACAAATGATTATAGATATTTGTACAATAAACAATAAATAAAACATTATAAAACAGATTCCCGCTTTCATATAATAAGCATAGACCACTCAAAGTAGGTGCATTGGAAGCAAGTGCATCCAAGTTAAAATTCCTAAATTGATCTTCTAATCTTCAATCAATTTTCGAAATTGCTTTAAAGCACATGCCTAGCTAGTTTTTCAAATGGAATAGCACTACAATGTGGAACTTTTAACACGAATCCTTTAAGATCAACCTCCATCCATTGCATTTCTTCCAACTTAAGTCATTAAGGGCTGAGCAACTTGATAAAAAGAGCAGCTATACAGGGAAACTAGGCAAGCAGTGTCTCGATCTGAATAAATCACAAATTCTTAACTCAGAAGATGATATTAAAACACTACCTTTTTGAGAGCGGCGCTTCCAGGAGCCAGATCAGCGTTTTCTAGTGCCTTCTTCCCACTCACAAGACCATATCTCAGGCAATCATCGAGCCTGCGGTCGTTCTTCCCGTCGATGTAGCCTTCCGACGAGAAATTCCTAATCTGGCCGGCGAATTTCGTCGGGAACACCGAGGCATCGAACCGATCTATCTGTCCGATCCCGCTTTCCCCCTCGAGCAGACGCTCATAGTACTTGTCCACGTCATTTCCGAACACCGAGACAAGTCCCATCCCCGTGATCACAACCCTCTTCTTCGGATCCGTCTCCCTCCGGGGAGCCGCCGCCGGAGCAGAAGCCACGGCCGCCCACCCTTGACGACCGCACCGCGAACCTCCCATATCTGCATCGGCGATGAGCAACCGTAGGGATGGACGGGCAGCTGCGGAGCCCCTCCGATGCGGGGATTTGGAGGGCCGGAGGGGAGAGAAGGCTCTGCATTTTGTAGAGGCGAAGAAACCCTCCTGACAAACAAGATGAAAGAGGCCGAGATGAAGATCTGACGGAACGATTTGGCGATATGGACGATGTAGGCGGCGACGACACCGAGGGAGAACTGTCGAGTCCGAATCGGCCACTTGGGAATAATGGTCGATCATTTTGCTGCTTTTTAAGGGAAAATAGGGTGGAATACTATGTACCAATGAATGCGGATTATTTCTTGTTGGGTGTACACGAGCAATTGTGTCAAATATTTTGTTTGGATTTGAGTGTGTTTGATGATAATGTTAAGGCGAATATTAAAAGAGCTTTAAAAATAGTACATTAAAGAATAATTCATATTAAAGATATAATATAAGTATTAGTTTGTGAAAAAACTACAAATAATTTTAGTATGCACATAAGATAACTTTAATATAGTTCATCATAAAAGATTTTTCCAACTAAGTTTCATAAAATTGTTGGCTTCAAATATCTTAAATAATTTAAAAAATAATAATAATTTATTTTATCATTTAGCTAATTATTTCAATTTCATATTGATTTAATTTTTGAGTCTCATATGATATTTCATTTTGGCTTGCCTACCTTTTATTATAACTTTTTCATCCTTAAAATATCACATTTTTTTCTTGTCATATTCAGGCCTTAGTAAATATTAATATTTATTTTTGATAGCCATATTATCCCCATATATATATATATATATATATATTGTTATTCAGGCCTTAGTAAATATTTATATTATGTGATGATTTTTTAGCACTATGGTAACTTATTGAATTTTTTTTTCTCTTGAATGTTTAAACTTTGGCTAAAATATGCTGGTAGATTGAGGATAATTTGATTGGATTTGTCATTCTATAAATTATTTTATAACATCATTTACAAGAAATATGCTGGTAGATTGAGGATAATTTGATTGGATTTATCATTCTATAAATTATTTTATAACATCATTTACAAGAAATAAATTTAAAGGAAAAATTTAGAAAATTTTAATACATGCCATTAAAATATTTTAACTTTATAAAACTAAATTATTTTTAGTGATCTTCTTAATAAGAATGATTTAACAAAAATTCTATTTTTTGCATTAAAATAAATATTTCATGTGCATCAGCAGAGTCATAAACCATCTACTGAAAATATTTATACTCGTTATAAAGCCTCATTGTCCTTTTTTTAAAATTAATATTTGACAAAGACATTGATGGTTACATTAGTGTTGATATTGGCATTCATATTGGGATTGACATAATATTATCTAGAAAGAAGCCCTTCCCTTGGCCTACATTGATTGTATGTCCTATCATTGATGTTGAGGGCTTATGTGTCAAATATTGAACATTGGCATCCTGGATAGATTGTGGTCAGCTTCGTTGAAAATTGGGTGAAAATGTCATATTTTCTATTGAGGCGTTCAAAGAATTAGAAGCCAAGGGGACTTCATTATTTGCATGATTAGGATTAACATTATCAAAGCTTGAAGTGCCATTTGAGCTTGGGTTATCTTCAGAGAACTCAAGGATAGGTGAGTTCAGCAAGGCTGAGCAAGGTGTGCTGCATTTTAAAAATATATATAGTAAAAAAATCCTAACAAGAGAATGATAATTAATATAGTATTAACAAAAATATAATAAACATATGTTCTCTTAATCTATAGTTCATAAAAACTTTAAAATTAACACATTGTTTTTTCAATGAATTCTTAATCAAGCATGTGAGTTATCTAAAGCTAAAGTACATTTACAACTCCTTATGTGATAATAAAAAAAACTCTAATATCAACATGAATTGATTTTATGTCATCTTAATTTTTTATTTACTAGTTTTTTTTTTTTTGCTATGTGACATTCAATATTTAGACTCACAACACAAATTATTTTAATCCTTAAACCTCTTTAATGTAGGTGGAGCTCTACACAATATAATTAATCTTCTTAATAAGAATAATTTAACAAAAATTCTATTGTTTGCATGAAAATAAATATTTCCTGTGCATCAGCGGAGTCATAAACCATCTACTGAAAATATTTATACTCGTTATAAAGCCTCATTGTCCTTTTTTTAAAATTAATATTTGACAAAGACATTGATGGTTACATTAGTGTTGATATTGGCATTCATATTGGGATTGACATAATATTATCTAGAAAGAAGCCCTTCCCTTGGCCTACATTGATTGTATGTCCTATCATTGATGTTGAGGGCTTATGTGTCAAATATTGAACATTGGCATCCTGGATAGATTGTGGTCAGTTTTGTTGAAAATTGGATGAAAATGTCATATTTTCTATTGAGGTGTTCAAAGAATTAGAAGCCAAGGGGACTTCATTATTTGCATGATTAGGATTAACATTATCAAAGCTTGAAGTGCCATTTGAGCTTGGGTTATCTTCAGAGAACTCAAGGATAGGTGAGTTCAGCAAGGCGTGCTGCATTTTAAAAAATATATATATAGTAAATTAATCCTAACAAGAGAATGATAATTAATATAATATAAACAAAAATATAATAAACATATATTCTCTTAATCTATAGTTCATAAAAACTTTAAAATTAACACATTGTTTTTCAATGAATTCTCAATCAAGCATGTGACTTATCTAAAGCTAATGTACATTTACAACTCCTTGGGTGATTATAAAAAAAACTCTAATATGAACATGAATTGATTTATGTCATGTTAATTTTTTTTATTTAATAGGTTTTTTTTTTTTTATTTGCTATGTGACATTCAATATTTAGACTCAAAACACAAATTATTTTATTCCTTAAGCCTCTTTAATGTAGGTGGAGCTCTACACAATATAATAAATTTGTAGAAGAGCCATGTCTCTATGAGATGGGCTCTTATCTATACCTTTTAGAGAGATAGGAATGAATAAATTCATTTTGTGCATATATTGTAAGAATAAGCAATGGCAAAAAAGCATAAAAGGATATTTTGATTAAATTTTTTGTCATGACATGCATATCTTAAAAGCTCTATAATAAAATGAGCATAATGTGAACATTTTATATATTTAATTTATGTCAAAATAAATACATTGAATTTAAGTTTCATTTAAATAATTTTTTAATCAAAGTAACATTCAGAGGCAGAGACAAAAAGATTTCAGAGAAGAAGCGTACTACAACTTCTTTCAAAATGTTTCTTCGAGTTCAAAATTATTTTGTTAAATACGTTTATATTAAAAAAATATAATATATATTGATTAAAAAAATTGCAAAAAATGAAATGAATGTAATGCAAATATTCTACATATTTTTAATGTGTTGAATGATTATATCAATTGAGGTTGAATTAGGATGGTTTTTTTTTTTTTGTTATTTAGTTTCTCACAGTTATATTTCTAGTTAGATAAAATTCTCTTAATAACTTAAAAAAAATTATTGTGAAAATAAGCATGTTAGGCTATTTGAAATCACGAATATAATGATATAATTAAGAAATGACCAAAATGGGTCAAACTATTTGATTCAGGATAGATTTAAATTGTTTAGATTTGTTTTTTTTTTTAAATAAAACATAATATGTGGATTCAATTAAAAATAGGTTGCATTTATTTTATGATAAATTCAATCTTTATATTTATAAAAAAAATAACATTATATCTCATGTTTTGACAGGGATGAACACAGATAAGAATTTTAATTTTTAACAATCATAAAACCTAAAATTTTTATATCACAAAAAAAATTAAAAGAATAAAACTATGAGTAATTTTAAAAGTGGAAAATAAAATCTCATCAAGGACGCATAGGTAAAATGATATAAATGTAAATATGAAAATTAATATGTCTCACATATAAATGAATGCGTAGAAATCATATACATGGCTGCATGCATTTAAATCTTAATTTCTAATATAAAAAAAATATCAAAAAAAATAAAAAAAAATTAAAAAAAAATGCATATATTGAATTACCAAATCCTCAAAATTAACTTTAAGTAAGTTATCATTGATATGCAACCAATAAATTTTTATCATCGGGCATGAATCTCGGTGCAATTTTTTGAAAAAGAAACATTCAAACTTCGATGAAGAGTCATCCGGAAATCTTATTTCAGCAAATTTATAGTCAGATTGATCGGCTCGAAGAGATGGACCTAATGATATGAAAGAGTCCAATCCAAGTAAAATCAAGCCCAGATCAAATCATCAAACCACTCTTAGAGGATTTTCGGAGGCATTTGAAAGGTCAAACGGATGTCGAATCTAACGAGTTCATAGTCGAATTGAGCGTTTCGACAAGAAAAATCCAATGAGCTCAAGATTGCTCACTTCTGACATTGTTAAAGTAGTCAAATGTTCATCAAACGTCATCTGATCAGGGGAAGCTATTCGGACCGTCCGATCAAAATGGTTCATATTCTTGCATTAATTGCACTCAAAACACTATAAATAGAGTCTCACCCCTCACATGAGAAAAGGGAGGCTTAAGGGGGAACTTGAGGATTTGAGAAGGAGCTCAAGTCCAAGATCATCCTCGTCATCGTCAATTGTCGTCAACCACCACTGACCTTCGACAAACACCGCCGACCTTTGTCGACCACCGTCGGCCAACGTTGCCCTCTGTCGATCACCGTCAACCGTCCTCGACTGTCGTTAGCCACCGCTGACCTCCGTCGACCACCGCCGACCGTCACCGATTGTCGCCGAAAACCGTTGATCAACCACCGCTGAATATGCGTCGTCAGTCAACGTAGTAACTTGGAAAGCTAGTAACCCTTTCTCTCCTGTGGGACAAGGGGCATCTGTAATCATCAATTTATAGTGGATTTTTACAACTGGGTCAGACCCCGTGTTTTTCCCCCTTTATGGGTTTTCCACGTAAAAACTTACAGTGTTATCACAGCTTGATTCATTTTCATCTGTGTGTGTGCTGAATCCTCGCGCAACGTTAAGACGATAATCCATCACCCTACCGCCACGAATTTTCTAGCACGCATCAATCCTTAATATTAAATTCGTAGTTTTGTGTTATCAATTATCTCCTCCTAAGTCCTAATCTATAAGTGTTGATGAGAGCAAATGTTACAGATGAGTAAAAGTTAATTATACGTACCAGAAGTAGAAGGGAAGATATTTGTTTAGTTCTTAAATGAGAAATGGATGGAATGATAGGGAAGTTAGGGAAA